AAGACTTCTGAAGGCATCAAAAGTTCCATTGAATTTATCAAAAAGGCTTACCCAATCTTGTTGTGCAGGAACGCCTTCCGCAGGAGGTAATGCGCTATCTTCTTCTCTCTCTTCGCCCCAGAAGGTTGGTTGTGTTCTAACTGGTGCGGGGGTTACGGGTAAACTAGGCCGTTCAAGCTCTGTTGGAAAGTCTGTGAGCCTCATACTACGCCTACGGCCTCCCGGGCTAGAAATCTGTGATATACCTGTGCCGTATCCTTGAAGAACTTGGATGTTGCCTTTGCGATTCTTGGACATGTTTCCAATGTATCGCTCAATTTCTGGAACTTCATCCCACGCATTTCCTCTAGCATAAGTTTGCCATGGGTCGTTGGCACTCGACATGGTAGGAGTGGTAGGAGTAGCGGGCATGCTTCTTTCATCCTCGGTGGTTGCGACTACCGAACCGGCGACGGGGGTTTCTGGTACTGCTGTGTCATCATAGTCATCTTCAGGGAATACTCTTGAGGGTACTGGTGGGTTAGCTTCCCATGGGAATATTGGTGCTGGTCTCTGCCACTTTGGAGCTTTTGGTACTTCGTAGTACATGTCACTGGGAGGGTCTGGGTAGCGGCTTGGTGCTCGGAATAGGGTAGCGTCGTTGGACATCGCATAATGGTTATCGGGGAGGTTTGAGGCTTCTGGTCTCGAATTTTGTGGTGGTGGTGCTCTATAGATCATTAGACAATTACTTCTCAATTTAATGACAATGAAGCTCACTTGCTGGCATCCCATGGTGAATATGAGATGTTTCGAGATTGGTCCAATTTTGCCTGTACTGGGGGATCATAAGCTTCTTCGTTTTCCAAGTTTGTTTCTGTATGGTCATGGATTGGTTCCTCTGCTGTAGTAGTAGTATCATTAATGGCATTAAAATGTTGAAATTTCTCACACTGGGCTCCTTTGGAATGGTCCTCCTGGGTCTGGGGCTGGAATTCTCCAAAAACAAGGTATTGTACGATAAGGGGTGCCGCTCCGTTGGAAGTTCCGGTCGCCGACTGCAGAAACATTAGCTTCCTCTACGATTGAAGACATCAAACTTACCGTTTGCTTGTAATGTTTATCATAAACTGCCCACCATCTTCCGGTCATCTGATGGTAAGGAGTGGCTCCGACACTGGCTTGTCTTCCAACTTTCCATGGCTTATCCGTTCCGATAAAGTGGGCGGCACTGATGCTGGATTGGAAATGTTGAAATGCTGGGAGATATTGGTAATGAGCGGATGGGGTGACATTGTAAGTAAAGCTTAGACGGTTGTAAGTATTCTTGAAATGCATGTTAAGTAAACCTTGATCAGCTCCATCAAAAGAGATTCCTCTGTTTGCCATAGCCTCCAAAGCATAGTAGTCGCCCATATTTGGATCTAAAACCATAAGACCAGTGTTGAAGATGTCTGGCCATCCGATATCTGGTGAGGCGGAAAATGGATTTGGTAGAGCAAACAACTCATCTGGTGCACGAAGAGCAACCATATCGGCATCCATGTAAACTATTCTTCGGAATTGTGTTTGTTTCCATAATGTAATTTTGGTGAAAGTAGAGTGAAGATCAGGGCGGCCCATGAGGTCAAGGTTGGCTGGGGATTGGTTGACAACTCGATCGACGGGAATAACATAGTCGAAGTTTCTCTGGAATCATATGTTAGTTTGATTCCCAGGTTGTCCAAAAGTAGAGTACTTACCTGAAGTTCAGTCATACTCTCAGAGGTCATTGAATCCACCGTGACAAGCACTGCGATTTTCTTGGTAGTACCAGCATCTCGTAGAGAATGTGCCAATACAAGAGCACCTGAATTGCAAGATGAGTTAATGATTTCTGATAGGTTTAGTATGATAAAACAAACCTGGCAGGTAGGTGTCGGTCAAGAGAAGCTATTGCAAAGTTGTCAGTTCAAGTCATCCCATTCTTGTCGAGTTATGGTGATAACTTACAGTTGCATAAACATCTTCTGGTTGGGAAGCCATTGTTTGTTTAAAAATGAGAGGACTGTATTTTGATGTATAAGACAAAGAAGTCCTTGAGTATTCGAACAAACTACTACAAACAAAACGTCTACCAAAGTTGTAGAGGTAATGTGTATAGGTAGGTAGATATAGAAGAAAGTCGGGGGAGGAGAAATAATTTGGAGAGATATGCGATGGATATTCTAAATAAATGGAAGTAAGCTATCAAGGCCCGAAAGAGGTTAGTGGAGATTGATTATGACGGTATGGTATGGTCATTCGGTTAAATAAATCAAAAAAGATGGTGGAAATGCTGGGGGAGGGGAAGAATGGGCGGTGGATGTGGATTAGATTGTATGGGTGTATATGGATGTATGTATAGATGGTATGGATGTATGAATAATGTATGGATGGATTGGTCCTTTTGTTTGGTGGGAAATGAATTGACAGGGAATTTGCTGGCGGTAAGAGGTCTCAAGGACGGAGGAGGATGAAGGGAAGCATGAAAGTCAGGAATATGAACGGAATATACAGTACGGTATGGTTAATTATTCGCAAGACGGTGAAGTAGCTTGGGATCTAGAAAAGACAAGATGAAGGGGGAGGGAGAGAGGAAAGAAATATATTGATATATACCAGTACTAGGTATTCGTATTCACATTCATCCATGGATATTCATACTAGGTAGGTATTGATATATTGATATTCACATTCACTCACATTCGCTCACATTCACAAAAAGATACCCCTCTCTCAACCCCTCCATAATATTCATTCCAATCACTCCATTCATTCAACTCTTATAAGAACCCAACAACCCAAAAACCTCAAAACCCCAAACATGGGAGAAGGTATAGAATGCCATTTGTCAAAGATAAGACGACATCGACTTTTCTTCATTACAGTAGCATTGTGTGAATCTTTGATCACGAACACCAAGCTGCCACGTACTTCCTCTTTCGCCTCCTTCATCAGACTAGTTTGGATATCTTTTATGAACTTCTTCCTACGGAGTAGATAGATTCTCCATACTCAATCCTCCACAGCTGGCTGGCTCGGCCGGTTACCTAGTCGTTAAACCATCTCTGCGTTGGACGGTTGGAGATGAATGTTCCACCAAGATGCGTTGAGATGGAGACACCACACCACCACACACACAACTCCAGATCCATTTTTTACCACCCGCATTTGAACCCTGTTTGCCTCCATGTACCATTTATTTTCCAAGATTCCCATGAATCCCATCCTATGCGGAACCTCGGGGGTAATGAATGCTATTTACCCCACTGTCTATCAACTTATCTTCCTTTTTTTTACGAGATTGTCAAGAATGGATCAAAAAGATAGTCAGTCTTCTGATAACTTTTCATACCAATAGATGAGGAATATTGTTCCGAATCTACCAAGACTTCATCACGATGGAGAACTTTTTCTCGAGTCATCTAAACGCCTTCATCAATTTCGTTCATGCATTTATTCATGTATGTCTCAAATTTCAAGCCCAATTCAAACGCATTTCAACGCCTTATCTGCAGGTCAATTTCTAACTGGCGTAACTTTATCACCCTTCATAATTGTATGGACAAGGGCCAGGTATTCTCAAGCCGTTCTATGCACACTGCACTGCAATGCTCACCGACAGCTACTAGTTCATGTATCGGGTATCCACTACGAACATGAAAACGCACAGAAAAATATCAAGGAAACTTAGCTTATTCAAACTTCTAGTATTCTCCAATATGAAGCGATATCTTCATCTTTGTGTCGTTTTAGAACGAACGAGAGGGGTCCAAGTGGACGTTTTCTTTCTGTTTGTTGAACCGATTCTTACTCACAGATGTATGTATGCGTAGTTGGCATCCTGCATACCTTATGTACAGTGCAGATAGTAAGATTTACATCGATAAATTTATGTACGGAGGGTTGTCTATAGTTGTGGCAGCCTCCTGTTCGATTGAAAATATAAATATATCACCATATGCTCCGCTTCTTCCTCAGAGATTTTTCAAGAAGCTTGAGCACAGGCTGTCTTTCTTACTTTGGACCCGATTATCTGTTATGCATTTAGATAGAAGTAGTATGTACGAAGCTCAGACTTGTATGTATCTACTGCCTATAGAAAATCATTGCGAGGAAATCATTTAGCTCGAACATTTGTTCTAGATCCATTTTGAGTACCCTTCTAAATGAGGGGTCTGCCTGCGATATTCATTCGTCCAGTTGTCAAAGGAACTTCAACATTGGGCAACATTGGGTAGAATCATATATAATGTATCGTTTTCAGAATACCTGATCGATTTTTCAATCATTGCCTGAACTTGATTGTTCTCTATCCCAAACTGGTGATGGTGTGTTGTAGGCTAGTATGATGATGTCTCGCCTTCTCACTTCAACAAATCATTATCATGGCTTTAGTTGAATCATTCAGAATGTCGCTCCCAAGTCTTTCAATTTAGATTGACTCCACCAGGGTTACATTCGTATCTATTAGCATGCAAGTGTCCCAAAGATATAAGGAGCTGCCAGCATGATTCACCCCGCTGGTTCCTCTATTCTCCGTATTAACCCATTATCTTCAGCATCCGTCACATCTCCATCTTCTCTCGACTCCACTGACAAGTCAAGGATCATTCTTAGATGCTCCACCGATTTCAACCTTGCGCTTTTTTTCAATCAGCCACAATCACCCAGTCATTGAGATGATAGCAGACTTAAAATCCTAGCGCGAATATTTTGAGAGTTCCAATGCAGCAAGGACTAACTTCCATTATTCCATGCCTGTCTCTTCAGCCTCGTTGATCGACTTGCGACGTGAAAGCAACAAATTCAACCTTGTGCTCAATCTACCAGCTGTCGATATCTGATTACCTTTCTTCAGTAAATTGTCGAGTCCCTTCTTTATCTGGTTGCGTATTGTACAAAGCGCCCGTGGCGTAGGAATGTTTCCACATTCTATCACGCTTGTCCCCAAATAAAGTTCATGAATCCCTTGGAGTTATAAAGTGCAAACTATCGCAATGGTCTCTTAGTTAGAGGTAACTATTAAGGGTTTCGAGATGAATTGCTCTAACTTTTGCTAAGTAGTCGGCCGTTCTGTCAGATTATTTGAAGTAAGCGAGCAGTGCCTCGAGCTGAAAATTTGAGGTCGACTGTTGCATAGAAAAACCAGATTACCGCTCCCTCTTTGAGTTGATTGAGACCTTCTCATAGGACGAAGAACTCTAGTGAAACCCCTTGCCAGTGTTATCATTGTATCATGCTGGCCTTCTCAGCAAGGCAACGAACGGTGGCCCTTCTTCCCTCCCTTACTCCCGTCGTCGAGAGAGGGCATCTAAATTGGGGGAGGGCCCGGTTTGTTTGCAAACACAAATTGTAAGAAGTTTTTTCTATATACGACGTGGCGTTTCTTTTTAGGAAAAGCAAGTAAACTTACAGGACGGTGAGTAACATTGCCAGGAGAGAATATAGACTACATACTTTCATTAGATGTTCTAGCCCCAATATCCATAGACTTTGCACGCTCAATGCTATATAACACGTCAAGTCAGCTCCCGAAGTTTGAGACTCTTGGCGGATATAAATCGAACGATGCATCATCCCGGTTGTTAGAAAATATCGTCACTTCGACGTATAGTATCACTAGAAATCAATATCAGTACTGACGATGTACATGAAGGTATCACGCTGCATTATCAAGGTAGAGTGATACAGTGAACGTTGGTTCTTGGATCTTTCTCAAGGGGTACAGTATGAAAGTGTATCAAGGAACTAAAATGAGGTCTATCTATAATCGACACAAAAACAAGAACCTGAGATTGAGAAAGATTCAGCGAAAGGTATTCAGGGCAAGAAATAAGAACATTGCTTCATTTTCCCACTTCGCATTTCGAGTTTGATACGTTCGTGTACAGTCTTGATAGTTACTAAAGCACTCTCGGAATTAAATCGCTTTGAATTCTCCCTCGATATCCACAATCTTTTCAACGGCTTTCTTATATCCCGCCTCATTTTCTAATCTTTCCGTGTAAGCAAAAAGTTCAGGGTATTTGTCCTTGGTTAACCCAGCGCGCTGTTTAGCTGCTACAAGAGGGAATGACATGAGGATGTCTGCACCGGTAAGATGTTCACCACAGAGATATTTTCCACCATTGGGAGAGCTCTGGATTTGTTCATTAAGAAAGGTAAAATGAGTGCTGAAATTTGGTTCCAGGTATGACTCGTGCACTTTTGAAGTTATCATGCCAGTAATAGGACGGATAAAAAAAGGAAGGTTGGGCGAATTAATCACTGGGGAGTTAGTAAGATTTGAGAATGCGAAAAGGAAGAACTTACTAGACATGATGAGGGCGACAAGGAGGGGAGGCATCAGAGAACCTTCGGCATAATGCATGTAATAGCGGAAACGAGTCCATTCTTCGGTTTCGCCACCGAGTGTGTTTTCTTGACCAGGCTTCCAGCGGGCGGGGAGAAGGGTACTGCCGTGGGCGAAATGATCGAGGAGATATCTTTGGGGCGAGTTAGAGGTCATACTTGGAGGGAAATCTTTTGGGTTTTGGGCAGCTAGGGAAATGATCTCCAAAATTATCTTATGATTCAGATACCTCACGTCGAAATCCAAGGACTACTTGAACTCCTCTATTTTTCAAGTCCATTTCTAATTCCATATACACACCCCTCATCCAATTACTTTCCCCGTCAAGAAGAAGACAAACTTACTCAGTAATAAACGCACTCTCCGCCAAAACCACCGGTTCTGTGGCTCCCGCAGGTAAAATCGTAACGACGGGAGATTTTCCCAAGGCATGCACTTTTTTCAATTCAGGAGGTGCTTGTTTAGAGGGAAGTCTATGGATGATTTCTAGCTCGTAGGGAACTTTCAATTCTTCTAGAAGCCAGAGAATCCGTTGAGAGCGGGATTGGTTGAGCCTGAATTTGTTAGTTTGAAGGAAGAAATGGACCGGGATGAGATGGGATGGGATGAGATGGGATGGGATGAGATGGGATGGGATGAGATGGGATGGGATGAGATGGATGGATGGGGTAAAAGGGACAAGAGGTATGTGTATAGGAAAGGGAGGGAAAAGAAGAGGAGAACTGCTACCAGTAAAGCTTGATCTTTGGCAGATCTGACATGGAAGCTGGTGAAGACATGACTACTTGAGTATGTAGAATACTAGGTAGTTATTATGAATAATATGAGATTGATATGACGATGTACTCTCTAAAATCCTAATCGGAATAGATACACAAACACAAAGAAAAGAAATCAAACACTCTCATTCCAATACTCTCACTAGATTCCCCTCCCATAAACAAGTTTATCTCATCTCACTACCGATTAGCTCACCTCAGCCCACCTCGGCACAATCGATAACCCATTGATAGATAACCTGTCCTGTGAGCCTGTGATAAAAAGCTAAAAAAAACTGGACCATACATCCGGCACATCAATCAATCAATCAATCAAGCGCATCATCGCTGCCAAATCTCAGCCGTGCGTGCGGATCATCGGCAAACGTTTTTCCGACGTCTGAGCTTTCAACCGCGATCCTCTATTCACATGAGGCTTAATGACTGGATTTCTAACGCTTGAATCCAAGAGAAATAAATCACACAAGTGTTTCTCTCATCCTCGCAACTTTATTCACAATGGCTGGTCACGATCATGGTTTGTCTCTTCGTACTGTGGATATGGGATTGGGCTAATGGTGGAAATGTAGTACTTGCGGTGGACCCCGCGTTGGTCAAATATAGCAGTATGTTCTTTCTGCAGCTGGGACGTCTGGCGCTTTACAATGGCGATGAGGAGATTGCGAGGGTGGGAAAGGAGGGAAGAAGGGAGACTGATAGAATGTAGATATGTCGACCAATCGCCACAAGTATTTCCGATGGACGGGTCGCACGGCCGCTATTTCGTTTGTCTTTGCAGCGGTCATTCCGAGTATCGTTGGGTATATGGCTATCAAGACTGAAGTAAGATATTTCGACGCCATGTGCTGGTTGTGAATTAGGGGATGGAGAATTGGAAAGCTAATGTGAGGATAGGGAAAATGGGACATGAGAGGAAAGCGCAGGGGTGATACGATTGCGGAATTTTAGATGGTGATGAAAGGGAGGGAGAAGAGGATGGGGCAAAGGTCGAATGCGGGGAGTTGTACATATGTGGAGGGAGATATCATGAGAGGCTATGGAATAAGAGAGAGCTATGAAATTGAGTTTGCATTCTTCACCATTGTCGTTTAATGCAAGGACATTTGATATGGGTATTGATATTTACTCGGATTTTGGTATTCTTTGATATACCTTTTGCAGGACTGACCTAATATGTTTCTAAGAGACGAACCGATTACCACCCATCCGTTGTTGATACTCCGATTAAAGTGCTTAAAGAGTTGAGATGATATTGGAGAAATTGGAGCACTCGCTTCCGATAAATCGTGGATGATTTGAGAAGAGATCATGTAGTGTTCCAAGGAAATTCGGTACCGTCATTCGTAATAGCATGGTGATTGGTATCATATGTCTTCGTGCCTCCCTCAATATCGACCTCTTCCACCCCCAAAACCACCTCCACCTCCATACCCGCGACCTCTTCCCCCAGATGGACCATCTGGTATCCTCTCACCTCGTCTCCATTCACCCATTGGTACACCACCCGCTCCTCCTTGACCCGTACCTTGACCAAATCCTCCTCCTCTTGAACCCCCCCTCCCTCTATATCCACCTCCAAATCCATTTTCTCTCGGTCCCATCCCCCCTCTTCCCCCAAACCCACCCATTTCCGATCTTCCACTCGCAAAACCGCCTCTCGAAGGACCACTGGGTGGCGGTGCAACTCCTCCATCTGCCATCGGTGGTAGAATTGCGCAACAAACATAATCACCAATAACAAATCTTGCATCCTGCAGCGTCTTCTCTGGTTCCCCCATCAAACTCCCCGCCATGATTCCTTCTCCGACTATCGCACTCTCTTCCTCATCTGGTAAAATTCCCGGGCCCCCTTCCCCAATAACAACACTGCCAAGCTCCTTCGTTACATATCTAGCGGGTCCACTAACAGCAGGTCGTGAATCAGGAAATATCAGTCGATATGAAAGGCGAGTTCCAATCGCCGGATCGGGAAGAAGATCAGGCAGCGCGGTGGCTAGTAAATGTGATAATTCGCGCAGAGTACATGATTGCCATGTAGATATATTAACGTGTAGAGGCAATTCGCCATGTGGATTAAATTCTTCAATTCTATTGTCACATTAGAAAGAATACAAATGAATATCATGGGAAGGCTGAGATTTGTTTGCCTACCTGGGAAATGAACCGCTTTTGTAGAAAAGCTTGAGATGAAATGGAACGGTAGTATTGCGATCAACTTTTGTTAGAGTAGTGGTTGCCATATTTATGTCATGAGCTAGGATAGCTATGATGGTTTTAGAGGAAGGATGTTGGGGGAGGATAACTTGGAGGTGAGAAGTTCTCGAGGCAGAATCGCGGCCTCGTCAAAAAATGTTCAGCCTTGGGCTTTGTACACTTTCTGTAATCTGACGACAACATCTTCTACATAATCAACAATTCAATCTCTCGCTCAGTTCTCTCAATTTATCAAATCTGGAAAGATAGAACAACGAAAAAAACGTTTATCATAGTTATAAATCACCAATTTAATTGCCATAAATACAATCATCTGCGGCGCATACCATCATAACCGCCATCATGGATTTCGCATCTCTCATGTCTAAAGAGATATCCAAAAAGAGCGAATCTTCCACCGATACTTCTAAGAAATACATGAAACGATCTGAAATTGAAGCGGAACGACAGGCCAAATACCTCGCCGAACAACGCGCGATTGAAGCAGAGCGTGAAGCCAAATTGGCACAAAAGCGCAAACGCGAAGACGAAGAAGAAGAAGCTGCTAAAGCGCGAGAAGAAAAGCGCAGGAGATTAGCTGAGGAATCTAGGAAACAGAGGGAGGAAAGAGAAGCCGAAGAAGAAAGAAAGAGAAGAAAAAGATTAGGATTGCCGGAGTTGGTTAAAGAGGATGTAGAGGAAGTGGTGGAAGATGATATTCCGGATGAGGAGTTAGTGTTGAAATTACGGGAAATGGGACACCCTGCGAAACTTTTTGCGGAAAGTCATAAACAGAGATTAAGGAGGTATAGGAAATTGGGGGTGGTTATGACGACGGGACCGATTCCTACGACGTTGGTTTTGATCGAGGAAAAGGATATGAAGGTTAAGGATGTACCAAAGGATGAGGAGGGGAGGAAATATCTGTTTAGACAGTTGGCGAGTTATTTTACGATGGTTTTGCAGGAGTGGGAACATGCGCTGGAGAAAGAGAAGAGGGATACGTTTGCTAGTAAGGCGGCTTATAATGCTATGGTGCAGAGTAAAGACAACATGACTCCTGTAAGTTTTCTTTCGTATACCTATCTATGTTATAGAATTTAAAACTGACGATCTATAGCTCTTTCGCAAATTCGAAAAAGGAGATCTAGATGAGGATATTCTAGGCCCTGTGGTTGAAATCGTCAAAGCAGCGCAGGAAAAACGATACGTTGATGCAAATGATGGGTATCTACGTCTTAGTATTGGAAAGGCTGCATGGCCAATCGGTGTGACGATGGTGGGTATTCACGAGCGTAGTGCGCGCGAGAAATTGCATGAGACTGATAAGGGACATGTAATGGGAGATGAAATTACGAGAAAGTTTTTGCAGAGTATTAAGAGGTGTCTCAGTTTTGCTCAAGTTAGATGGCCTCCGGAGGATATTAGACAATTGATGGGTTAAGAAGGTAGATATGTTGTAGAGCTTGAGCCTCGAGGAAGGTCACAATGGGTTTCCCATCTGTGTCTTCGATTCTACGTCCCCTTCAGGCTTCAAAACGCTGGTGGAGCACACCTTAATTTAAACTATTATTGTATTTTGATGCTTACTTTGTTGTTGTTTTTGCTTTGATAACGAGGATCTGTGTTGTGTTTATTGGCCCTATTTATTGGTACTTCAAATTCTAAAGCAAGGCCCTTTAGTTTTCAGCCGATTCTATTCTGAGTTTCGAGTATATACTAATGTACCACCACCGGATAATACTTCAAATAGTCGGGGATAAAAGGCTTCTACGAATACTAAATAGTAAAAGATCGCGTTTAGCGAGAGGTTAGAAGGAGGGGTAGCGAGTAAGTCCTAGTGTATGACAACCCATCATTAAAGTAATGAAATATTTCATCTTATATCGCATACAAGAGTCCCGGACAATGGGAGTCATGTTTTAGTGAAGGGTACTTTATAGATCATAAATCTTCGCTGCTTCAAATTAGTCCAATCGCTAACTCAAAGATGCCTAGATGCGTATTATATTGGCAAAAATGAGATTGTGTGTGCCTGAAGGCGACTTTATTTTTCATGATCCCAGTAGATGCTAGTATAACACAGATGCGTAGGTATATACAAACTCGTAAAGGCAATTTGAAAGACCTAGGGATTTGGGTCTAGAGACTCAGGCTCAAAGGACTTCGGACCGCCATAGCGGATGACGTTAATGAATCTTGACCGAAATATATGATAAGAAATGAAGCTTCTTGCATATCTACAGATGATCATTGCGAAATTTCAATACAATCGCGAAGTAGTATGCAATGTTCAAACGGCAATACTTACAACACCTGGTACACGTAAATATTAATCACTTCCCTCATGATTTCGGCTGCTAGAAGTGCCCCTTCTGATGAATGGATCCTGGCTTTCCATAATTCTTATGCTACCCATGATGGATAGGCTGCCTTGGGACGTTTGATATTCCTAATATACGGGGAGCTTGTGTTAAAAGCTTTTCATCGTGCCCCTGTGGTGGCGAAGTTAATATCTATGTACGAATAAAATGTTAGTATAAATTCCTATATAATTATTTGATACATACATTATTGAATTCAAACTTTTTTTATTTCTAACGAAACACATTCTTCGTCATCGACGAATATTTCCAGTTCAAAATGACAACCGTTTATTATTGATATTTTAATAATAGAAAAAAAGAAAATAAAGGCCTTCCAGCTGAAGGACCTTTATGATTTTTAGGACGAGTGGATGGAAGGGTATATGCGTAGGAGCTAGGAGGAGGTCAAAGAGATGAAGAGGAGCTAGGGGGAGAAGGGGAGCGAGCGGGGGAGCGAGCGTAGATACTAGAGGATAGGAAAGGGTATTAGCCGAAAGTCTAAAGGGGAAAGGGTTCCACACCTTGCCACTCACTTTCAATTTATTCTTCAAGCAGAAGCTTTACCACTATA